ATGTTTGGGGATGGAGCAGAAATCCTCCAGGGACATCTCCATGAAGCTCTCCTGGAGGTACTCTGAAAGCCTTTGCAGAAGGTTTCTGGGGAGGGCTGCCTTATTTCGTCCTCCACGGTAGGACACTTTACCACGCCAAGCCAGTAGCAAGTAGTCTGGAATCATTGCCGCACAAAGCATGGCAGCGACTGGTCCTGGGTTTTGGTCGCATTCAAGCAACATTTGGTCTTTATCTTTCTGTGTTAGCCTCAGGAGAGTGATATCATTCATGGTCACCTGGTTGAAATAGGGAAATTTTTGTAAGGGAACAATAAAAGGACCCCGTTCATGCTGGACTGTTTGCGCTTGGCTAAAAGGGATCATTCCATAGCCACGCGGCAGGGGGAGGGGTGAAGGGATCATCCCAAATAGCCATGCAGAGGGGTGGGGGGAGATGTGTGCTGCACATCCACCCGAAAACCGCAGCCCCTCCTTTTAAATGGCAAACCCAACCGGCATTGCTTGCCGGGAAAGGAGGACATTGCAGTTTGAAAACATTCCCACATGTTATGAAGGCGTTAGAAGCCAAACCCATGTACCCTTTGGCTTACCATGGCTGCCTGGAAACTGAATTCTGTTGCCCAGCTGTGTGTGATGTGTCACCATACTGGCAGGCGCTCAATATAAAAGGCAAAATGCCGTTTGTACCTAAAGCACATGTGCTGTCTTCTGTGAATTGCTTAATTCACTGTGAAAGAGTCTCCCTTTTGTTCTCAGAAATGTATCATCTTAAATTTTACTCTCCCTTTTTATCCCCCTGCAGGTGCAAATGTTTCTATTCTCCCCCTATCATCTCCATCCCTGAGGTTATCCCAGATTAGAAGGCGAAAAAAACGCACTCGCGATGACATGTTTTCCGAGCTCGTGCAGTCCTCCCGCACTGATAGGGCACAGCTGAATGCATGGAGGCATTCAGTAGCAGAGTCCAGGAAATCATTAAGTGAGTGTGAAGAGCAGAGGCAGGAGGTGATGCTGAGCTAATGGGGGAGCAAACGGACATGCTCAGGCGTCTGGTGGAGCTGCAGGAAAACCAACAAGAGCACAGACCACCTCTGCATCCACTGTACAACAGCCTGCCCTCCTCCCCAAGTTCCATATCCTCCTCAGCCAGACGTCCAAGAATGCTGGGGGGGGGGGGCAACGCTCTGGGCACCCAGCCACTCCACTCCAGAGGATGTCCCAAGCAACAGAAGGCTGTCATTCAAACAGTTTTGATTTGTAGTGTGGCTACAAGAAGCCATGTGCCCTTGTCCTTCCCCCCACCTGACCCTACCCCACCTGGGCTACCTTATCAGTTATTTGCCCTTTTTTTTAATTAATAAAGAAAGAATGCATGGTTTCAAAACAATAGTGACTTTATTTCCTTTGCCAGCTGTGCTCAAAGGTGGGAGGGTTGTTGACTTACAGGGAATTAAAATCAACAAAGGGGGCGGGTTTGCATCAAGGAGAAACACATGCAACTTTCACACCGTAGCCTGGACAGTCATGAAACTGGTTTTCAAAGCCTCTCTAATGCGCAGCACGCCTACCTGTGCTCTTCTAATCGCCCTGGTGTCTGGCTGTTCAAAATTGGCAGCCAGGCGATTTGCCTCCCACCCTGCCATAAACGTCTCCCCCCTTACTCTCACAGATATTATGGAGCACACAGCAAGCAGTAGTAACAATGGGAATATTGGTTGCACTGAGGTCTAACGTAGTCAGCAAACAGCACTAGCGAGCTTTTAAACGTCCAAAGGCACATTTTACCACCATTCTGCACTTGCTCAGCCTATAGTTGAACTGCTCCTTACTACTGTCCAGGCTGCCGGTGTATGGCTTCATAAGCCATGAGAGCAAGGGGTAGGCCGGGTCTCCAAGGATAACTATTGGCATTTCAACATCCCAACAGTAATTTTCTGGTCTGGGAAGTAAGTCCCTTCTTGAAGCTGCTCAAACAGCCCAGAGTTTCTAAAGATGTCATTCACCTTTCCCAGCCATCACACGTTGATGTTGGTGAAATGTCCCTTGTGATCCACCAGTACTTGCAACACCATTGAGAAGTACCCCTTACAGTTTATGTACTGGTTTGCAAGGTGATCCGGTGCCAAAATAGGAATATACGTTCCGTCTATCGCCCCACCACAGCTAGGGAAACCCATTGCAGCAAAGCCATCCACTATGATCTGCACATTTCCCAGAGTCACTACCCTTGATAGCAACATGTCAGTGATTGCATTGGCTACTTGAATCACAGCAGTCCCCACAGTAGATTTGCCCACTCCAAATTGATTCCTGACTGACCGGTAGCAGTCAGGCGTAACAAGCTTCCACAGCGCTATCGCCACTTCCTTCTCAGATATCAGGGCAGCTCTCATCTTGCTATTCCTGCCCTTCAGGGTAGGGGAAAGCAACTCAGAGTTCCAGGAAAGTGACCTTACGCATGCAAAAGTTTCGCAGCCACTGGTAATCATTCCATACCCGCAAGACTATGCAGTCCCACCAGTCTGTGCTTGTTTTCTGGGCCCACAATTGGCGTTCCATTATATCAACCAGCCCCACTGCCGCCATGATGTCCCAATTGCCACATCCCGTGCTTTCAGGAATGTCTGTGTCCATGTCCTCCTCACAATCGTCCTCGTGCTTCCGTCTATTAGCCAGGTTCTGCACATACTGCAGTATAATGTGCAAGGTGTTTACAATGCTCGCAATAGCAGCAGTGAGCTGAGCAGGCGCCATGCTTGCAGTGCTATGGCATCTGCACGGGTAACCCAGGAAATAAGGCGCAAAATGATTGTCTGCAGTTGCTTTCACGGAGGGAGGGTGGGAGGGCTGGAGGGGAGACTGACAAGATGTACCCAAAACCACCTGCAACAATGTTTTGTCTCATCAGGCATTGGGAGCTTAACCCAGAATTCCAATGGGCACCGGAGACTGCGGGAACTGTGGGCTAGCTTCCCTCAGTGCACCACTCCATGAGTCGAAGTTAGCCACGGTAGTGCGGACGCACTCCGCCGACTTAATGCGCTTAGTGGGGACATACACAATCGACTGTATAAAATCGATTTCTAAAAATCACCTTCTATAAAGTCAGCCTAATTTCGTAGTATAGACATACCCTATGTAACTATGGTGTTCTGTTCCCATCAACAACCAGTGCTTAGTGATAGCATTGAATATTACATGATAGTTGTGTTTTAAAACAAACCTGAATCAAAAAAATCATATTGCAGAGATTGTACTACATGCAAGCAATTTTTATGCCTGTTATGCATTGAAGGACTTACTTGGTACAGGTATAGTAACTGGCATTTGTGCCAACATTCAAGTGACCGATGTGGGTATTCGAGGGACTATAGTCCTATTCCTTACTCTAAAGAATCAGGATTACTCTGGGCCTGGGCACCTCATAATTAAACAGAGGGTACAATCTATAAAACTATTTAGAACTTTGAGACATGCATTGTAGAAAATTTTGACAAATTCTAGTTTTTTATTGGGTTGGGGAGGGTTTTTTGGGGGATAGAGGGGGAGGAGAGGAGAGTGGGGGAGATTGTGTACTGAAATATTCCCAAAGAAGCCTTGCTGTTTGCAAAGCAGTTTGGTATTGAGTGAATATCACCCATTGTTGGCTCAGAGTATTTGGTATTAGAATTCACGGACTGATCAGCAAAGTATTTAAAGTATGGAATAAACTTATTTGATTTCTTCAAATGAATCATGCAGACCAGTTTTGAAGATTCACAAATGTAAAATGGCTCTAATATGGTAAAACAGAAGCTCTACTAGTCACAAAAATATTTGCTATTTGAATGCAATCAGCTTTGAAGAAGTCAGATTTAGGGCTAAATGTGTATGTACAGCAAAGTGGTCCATTACATGTGGTCTGCTTTTGGTTTAAAAAAATTAAGTTTAAACAAAGATATATACAAGATTGGAAAAAGCAAGCCCACAGATCCACTAGGCAAGGCAGTGTTTTCTGTTAGTATGTACCTTTATTTTTGCTATAGTGCAATCCTTTTGTATAGAATAGCTAAAGATTAGTAATGTTTCAATATACTATCCTTTTAAAAAGTAGGTAGTCTTCTTGTTTTTCTTTAATGTTGATAATTTTGACATGCTGCTAATTAGAACAGACACCTCCTAGGTCCATTTATTTACATGTACAAGACAAGTCTTGTCTCCATCCATTAGCTTATTTTACAGAGAGTAATGGGTGCTTTGGTTGTGGGTAGTTCCAGGGTCTGCTAGGAAGATTAATTTCAGCAAATCTATTTTTCCCTTTAACTCTCCCCTTTCAATGAAAGATAAGATGGTAGCTTTGAATAGTGGCAGAGTATCCTACTTCACTTCCTAAATCTGATCACATTTTGGCAGCCAATTTAAATTTGATAATCTAGGGCCTAATCCTGCAATGAGACTACTCCCCTGAGGAAAGGTGGCAAGGCAGGTCCCCAACAACAACAAAAGCTATTGCTATAGATAATACATAATAGTTAACTTTATTTTTATGACTCATTTCTTATCCCTGTTTACCTCAGAGAAATTTTGTTATAATTATTCCAGTGTCTCCAGATGTCTCACCAACAATTCATTACTGTATTTTATTTTGCAAGTTGATGCTCCTATTTTATTTGGTGTTGAAATATTTTGGCTGTTCATGAGGAAACTGTTTTCTTTTGTTTTCCTGTTGCTTAGTAGCAGATGTGTGTGTGTGTTTTCCCCCCAGATGCTCTCTTCTCACATTCAATAAACGTAAAGTTAAAAGAGTATCTTAGATTATTATTAGAAAACTGTCTAGCTTGAAGACTGGAGTATTATACAAAAATACCTCAGTACATTTTTAACTTGGGCTTCAAAGACAAAATACAGTTCTGAAGTTTATTTAAAAAAATCTACTATATTATGCTATACAGAGGATAGGCTGATCTAAAAGTTTGTATCATTTGACACTTAACATTTTTTTTCCTGTTCCCCTCTTAAAGGTAGAGACCTGTGGGTTCTTGTTCTGGGAAGGTTTCCAACCCAACATACCATTGGCATACCAGAATTCAAGTATATTGCTAATATGCATGGGGATGAGGTATGTCTACAATTTCAATTTTTGCAGTGTCGTTTACAGCAAAACATTTACCAGGGATCTTAAAAGGAATTTTGCTTATGCTCATATTACTAATTATTGGGGTTTACTATACCCCTCCAGTTTCTCCGAAATTTGAAAAGGTGACCTACAAAGGACTTGAAATGGGCTTATGCCCTTTGTGCCTGTTTGAAAAGGCCTGAAATGCTTAAATTTCTGTTTGTTTTTCTTCAATCTAAGTATTCTCAAGTCTGATCTTTCCTGGGTTTGGTGGAGGATCTCTGGAAGGTCTCAGGTGTTTGTGTGAGCTCTTAAGTTAATTGAAGGAATGTGTATTAATTTTTAACAAGACTACTTCCTTTCTCCAAAATTTGTCAACAAAACATCCAAAAAAAGCTTTTAAACAGTCAGACTAAAAATCTTTCCCTTTTAATAGCACAGCTTTCCCTCCCTTGAGTCTGGGATACTGCCATTTTCATTAGTTCACCAGTCTTTTTCCACCCCAGAAAAGACCTAAATTTCTAATGTAAATAAGCATTTATTTTTTGAGGAAAAACAAATTTTTAGGCTTCCTTCATATATCAGAAAAGAGAACAAGCATTCTCTTTTCTCCATTACAGATCATCTGTCAGGTCCACTAGAGAGAAAAAGCACATTAAACATTCAATGTATGGTATATGGACCTCCTACATAATGTCCACGGAAGCTAAATGTAAGGTCGCAGAGTTCAGCACTTTACACAGAGCACATTAGACTTCCTCTTGTATCAGTTGATACCTGTTTGAGATGGCAGACATGGAGTAAACTTTACATGTCCCCTTTCTGGATAATGCCCTGAGACCCTAGCATAACTTGGAATGAGTCATAAATGTAACCGCTTTTTTGGGAAAGTACTACGGTCTTATCAGTAATGTTAGATACAACCCAGTGAGTCCAAAAATGAGTGGTAATTGCCCTATCTAGGGCCAGCTGGCTTACTTTTTGAAAACAGACTCTGCATTGGTACCCATCACTAAAATGCAATACCTATTGTGGCTGAGATAAGTTTATGAACACAAAACAGAAACTTGCAGACATCAGCACATTGTGGAAAGAATGTCTTTACTTTATGGAAGATACATTGGCTACCACTGTAATTCCATTGTGCAATATCCACTGTACCTGTGAGCACAGATTTCATTTTTTCACTTTTCTGATTTCTCCTTTCTTCAGATATTTCACCTATTTCTTACTCGAGGCCCTTTTAAAAACAAAAGCTATAACTACTTTTAATAGGCATGTTCAAGATGCCTTACATTTTACTTCATCTGACTGATGTAGACTCCCAATATGAGAGGGCGTTCTTGGTGATAATTCAGCAGAATAGCAGCAAAATTCCACACTATACATTCTTGAAATCTAGAAAGAAATATAGATTATACAGCACAAGCTTCCTACTCCTGAAGAATAGCACAAACTATGCTATAACAATACTGTGAACGTATTTATTGTAGCACCAGGTGACCTCATCATGGACCTGGCCCCCATTGTGCTAGGTGCCATACAAACATAGAACAAAAACAGTTCATGCCCCCAAAAGCTTACAAAGGTAATTATGACACTGACCTATATGACAAATTTCCCCTAATTAAACTAGTTTCTTGCATTGTTTGTTAGAATGCACAGACTTTGTTCTTTGGGCACTGGGGTAGCTAAGCTCTATGCATTGCTCAGAATCTCACTATGTGCATTTGATTGTGTGGACAGAGCTAAAGGGGGACAGGCTTGGTTGTGGGAGAGTGGTCCTTGACCTGCACAGTGCATTAGCTCAGTTGCCCATCAGCTCCTTCTAACAACCAGTTTCAATCAAATCCTCAAGACGCTGGAACAGCACTCCGGTGCATGTGCAAAAAACAATTGGGAAGCTGGGAGAGAGCCTGGAAACAGGGCTGTTCCTGCTTTCCAGGGACACATGGTCACCTTTAGGTCCATGTTCTGTGTATGGAATTAACATGTGTAAAGTTGAGATTTGGTTTTACTTTCTGGCCATAAAAAGATTTTAAAGTATAGGAAACTAAGTCCTATACAGGAGAACATCAGGGAGTTTGAATGTTCAGTCACATAATCTAAAATTTTGCTGAGCTAGTCTCCTGGTGCGGTATTCAACCTCCCTCTTAATATATTCAACTTCCCCTTTAACATATTAAGCCAATAAGTGTTGTGTTAAGTGTACAGCATGCATTGACTTGATTGATATAGGCTAGCAACTATGACAATGAAGCTGTATATTCAGCATTTGCCTGCTGTATTGCATACCTGGATATTATATATCCCCCTGAGGAGCCAGTTGTCAACAACAAAGTTTTAGAAGGACAGTGTTCAGACAGGTAAAGCTAAAATTGGACCTACTTATTTTGTTTGGAATGTTGTTTACTACAGTGCAGACCCTGCTCATAAGAATGGAGATGATCTGTGACGTGTTTGAGTTGCATGCAGTCCATGCATATCTGCAACTGGAAGAAAACCACAACATGCTGTGGTTTTGGAGGGTTGCCCAGCAGAGGAGTTGACATCTTAATATTGTAGCCCTCGTTTTGGAGAGCAGATAGATTTGTTTGTTTTTCAGAATCAGGACATTAAAGTTATTTTTAGAATAGGTTAAATTCTTTTAATAAAGACATAACCGAGTCATGTTAATAGTTTGTTTTATACTCTCCACTGTGGTGTGTTTAGAGACCAGAACAAATTTTCAGTCTATTTGGCATAGCCACATGTCCCTGGGCCTGAATGGAGCTCAAATCAACAATGTTAAAGTTATCGTTTTTTATTACTATCAGCTCAGGTCAGATTAGAACTGATCAGAACATTTTTGATTAAATGAAGTTTTGACAAAATATGCTGTTTCAAAGCCAAAAGGTTGTGTGGGGACTGATCTGTTTCTATGAAGTTTTCAACAGGAAGGTTAAGTAAGAGACTCATTCTCTGGTTGGTGATAGGGTATTGGCCTGGGCTGTGGGAGACCCAGGTTCAAGGCCCTGCTTTGCCTGATCCAGAGTGATCTGGAATGAAAAACTGCATTGAAAAGCAGGGACTGGAACACAAGTCTCTCCCAACCTGGGCCACTGTTCTAACCGTCATGTGTCACCCCCCCCCCCAAATACACGCCCTTCTGAATTAAAAAGCTCAGGTTTTGATCCAAAGCTAGCCATTTCAATAATTCAGTTTTCACAAAAACATTTGAAAATATTTGTTTTTGTTGCAATGCAGAATGAAAACAAATTTTGAAATCTCAACCACTGCTGTGCAGTGGAATTGCTGTTCTCCAGCCAGCTCTAATGACTTAAGCCCCATTTGCACAACTAAACTAGAGATCCCAGTTACACCACTGAATGCAACTTCCCCCATAGTTTCATTAAAACTTCTAAGCATTACCTACTTGGATATTGCTATCCCACTCACCAGTTAATCTGAACAGCTGGCTCTCCTAACTTTGTTATAGCTATCACGTTGCCTGGGCCTCAGGTGAAAGCTTCCCCTGCCCCATTATCTTATTACAACTCACAATAGTTTTCCTTTAATTACAACTATCTTAACTTTTTTCTGTTGCAAGAAACTGGGCCCATGATCAGTGTTGAACTAGCCTAAGTGAAAGAACGTATCTATCATGTTGGCTTCTTGTGACATCACAAAACTTTAACCTCCATGTAATGAAAAGAATTATTACTAAAGAAAGGCTTCTAGATAGGAGGTAGATAATCTGGTGGATAAGTGGGTTGCATTTTGATTGTTTGTGATAAAATATCAAATATTATTCAGGTAAAAGACCTGCCGAAGCAAACCTTTCCATCTAGCTACCTCTGCAGTTCCTGTGTTTTGTGTCCCAAGGTTTTCTTTTCAACAAGTGTCTTCTTTATATATTTGGATGTTTCCCAGGGCTTTTCAGAAGCATAGGCCTCCTAACTCTTGACAATAGAAATGAGTGAAAGCCACATCTAGATCATCAAAATTCCTAGGAAGAGTCTGGCTAAAGCTGACCTGCTGAGCACCATGAAAAAACAAAACACCAAGAAAGTGCTTCAAGGAACCATATGAAAACTGACTAGCAGATTGTCTCTACTGTGCACTATGGCATAAAAAAAGAAAAAAAAATTGAAGATGCTGAGAAAAGAGCTTTGAAATAATGTGTTTGATTATAGAGTGGACTGTTTTCTTTCCTGCTAGATTCCCACCTTTCAACTCTAGCCTAAGTTAAATAACTTGGATGTGATATATTTTGCCAATAAGCAAAATAACACACAAGTGTTTATACTGTAACTAAAAAACAAGGCCAGTAGCACTATGATTGTTTTTGGTTTTGGAAATCTCTGAAGTCCATTCACCAGAACATAACATTTTTAAAAAGGCAGAAGATTAACATTCTTCCACAATATACACTGTGCTTTAAACCAGTCTCAAGTTACTTCCCCCCTCCTTTCCTCATCTCACGCCCGCTGCCTCTATTCTTCTTCTTCTAAACCAGTGGTTCTCAACTCTGGTCCACCGCTCGTTCAGGGAAAGCCCCTGGTGCGCTGGGCCTGTTTGTTTACCTGCCGCGTCCGCAGGTTCGGCCGATTGCGGCTCCCACTGGGTGCGGTTCGCCAATCCAGGCCAATGGGGACTGCAGAAAGTGGCGCGGGCCGAGGGAAGTGCTGGCCGCCCTTCCTGTTGCCCCCATTGGCCTGGAGCGGCGAACCGCGGCCAGTGGGAGCCGCGATTGGCCAAACCTGCTAATGTGGCAGATAAACAAACCAGCCCAGCGCGCCAGGGGCTTTCCCTGAACAAGTGGTGGACCAGAGTTAAGAACCACTGTTCTAAACCATCACCTCCTAAGTTAACTAGAGACTGTGTGGGATAGAACAGGTCAACTTGGTAACACCTAGTGCAATTACTAGCTCTGCAACAGGCTTTGACATTTCATTCAGTGGCAAAAAGGAGGAAGACACAGCATGCTCATGATATTCAGCACTCCTGTTTTGTTACAAGTG